CAAGTGCCACCTCTGGGCACACGGTAAAAGACTGCCGTCTTCTGACAGCCGACCGTCCTTGGCCTGTCTCCTGCTCTGCTCAGCTCTCCCCTCTTCCCAGGGCCACAGCACCCAACTTGGAGATCCTAGCGGGGCCGTGTGCCCTTTGAAATTATGGGCACAATTTTGTGTTTGAGGATGAGAGCGATTTTGTGAAGAGAGGACCCAGAGTTTTAAATCACATTCTGAAAATGAGTCATGAATTAAGATACATTGGAGAACTGCTTGCCATATGATGTAACCATGACTAAACTTCAAGCCCAGGCTCTGTGGGGCCTTCCAGTCTCTCTCCATCTGCAGCTGCCTGCCTGGTCTCTGGAAGGGACCCGTCCTGCATTCCCCCAAGGCGCAGTGAGGTCCCTCTCCATGAGGGGTGGGGAAGGCAGCTGTTGCTGGGTCCGGCGGGCTTCCCCCGCCCAGCAGGGCCCTGCTCCCTGACAGCACTGTCACTCACAGCCTGTGCCAAACACCATTAAGACTATACATCTGTGGCCAGTGTAATGATATAGTTACTGTTTCCCTCTCATAGTGAAGTCAAGGGAGGCAGCCTTTGTGCTACAGCAGGTCTGGCTGTTTTAGTCGTGCTGTTCGAGTCTCTTCCCGGGAGAAGGGATCCTCCTGTGCACTTTCTTGGTGATGGTCACACTGCCTTTCCTCCTAAGTGTGACAGGAGGCAGTGTCAACAGGAAACTGAAGCCTAGAGCAGCTGAGGACTTGCCAGAAAACTCACTCAGGAAGAGAAAAAACTAACCTCCAAGGCCTGACTCGTGCATCTTTAGTTTATGCACTAGTTCTGCAGTGTGTCTTTCTCACTGAGGAAACTGAGGCTCAGTGAGCGTCGACAGCCTTCCCAGGTCGCGAAGATGGTGTATGCAGGACATGCAGTGTCTCGGTCTCTCTGGTCTCGACGCTCACCCTCCGAGCCACCCTGCACAGGGAGTCACAGATGAGTTACCCTGGCAGGACTTGACCCTGAGTGCGCCTGGTATGGCCTCCTGTCCAGTGAATAACATGGCAGTGTCCACTCTCCAAGAATGCCAGGTCTCCCTTAGTAACAGCCCTTCCTGCTGGGCAGTCCTTCGCATATGTGGCCTGAGTCACCCACTCCCTCTTACTCTGACCCAGCTGAGAAGTGAGGAAACAAAGCCCTTTGTAGGAATCAGAAGACACTCAGTGCCCTCACTGGCTCCTCCAGGCCTTCCGGCTCCGGCTGCCCTTCCCCAGCCAGCCTGGCCCCGGGCGTCTGGCCTCAGCTGCTGGTGAGAGCAGGGGCTTCGTGCCCGTGAGGGCGGTGCACGTGTGGTAGGAGGTAAGGTTCCGTGGGCACCCGCCCCCTCCCTGTGCCAGGTCCTGTTCCAGGATCGGGGGCTGAAAGCAGTGAAGGAAACAGAAGTTTCTACTCTCGGGCTTTACATTCTGGTGAGGGGGACAGTCATGCGATGGGCAGGAGAGTCTCAGCAATGCCACGTGTTTGAAAAAGGCAAAGTGGGGTGATGGGCGAGGGAAGGCTGCTTGGAGAGGACGGCTGTGAGGCCTCTCGGGTGACGTCTGCACAGACCCCTGGAGGAAGTGAGGGAAGAAGTCCGACGTCAGAGGAAGAGGTGCTGGTGAGAGCCGGGCCTGAGGCAAGGCCAGGCCTGAGGCATCCCCAGAAGCAGAGGAAAGGAGGAAGGGTGCTGAGCCTGAAAAGGGGCAGACTAGTGGGACACGAGGCTGACGAAGACCAGTGACCAGATCTGCCGGGCCATGTGGGCCGAACAAGGACACTGGATTTTATTCTCAGCCTGATGGGACAGCACTGAACATCTGAAGGATCACTCAGGTGGCCGTGTGGCGACCAGACCCGAGGTGTAAGGGGGGGCGTCAGGAGGACCCTCTGGGAGGTCGCTGCGATAGTCCAGCTTAGCTCCAAGGGAGAGGTGGAAGATGAGCAGATTCACAATCTATTTTGATAGTAGGGCTGATAGGATGGGCTAATGAATTGGAAATGGAAAGAAAGGGAAGTCAAAGGCAACTCTTCGTGTCTGTGGGGAGTGCCTGTGGACCAGTGGTGGTGCCACCCACTAAGATTAGAATGCAAGCGTGGGGGGAACAAGCGAGAGTCCATGCATGTGGGGTAAGATGCCTGTGAGACATCCAGGTGGGCATGTCTCATAGGCATTTAGATGGATCTGGGTTGAGGGCGGAGGCCAGGACTGGAGACAGGATATGGAGAACCGTGCACTCTGAGGCCATCGGATGCCCTGGGATCGAAGGAGGCCCCAAGGAGTGGCTGCGGCAGGAGCAGGGGAGGAGGCAGAGTCCAACACTGATAAGAAGGGCAGGACAGAGCCTGCGCAGGAGACCAGATGGAATGGTCCCGATGAGGCAGGAAGAAATCCAGGAGGGGTATCCCAGAAGCCAGTGGTGACCAGTTTGGACAAGAAAGGAATGAAGGAGATCAGTACGTCAGATGCTGCTGCCCAGGGGAATAAGAGGAGCCTGGCTTTGGCCATTGGACCTGGCAAGCGGGAGAGCGCCAGTAACCACGCAGGGCAGCGAGAGCAGACAAGCCTGATCAGAGGCACACAGAGGCCGAGTCTTTGCTGAGGGCCACACAGCTAATAACTACTGGGTGGGACTTAAACCCAGGTGTTGGCTCCTGAACACTGAGACCCCACTGCTCCTGGTGGCCTCGGTCTTGCGGATTCATAAGTCTACTCTTTTCACATTTATTCTTAATATCATCCCGGGCAACTGACGTGTATTAGTGTAACTAAATAAAATCGGTGTTTTAGTAGGTCAGAAACACTTGAATATTGGTGAATTGTATGGTTTAACATGAAACAAGCGTATAAAGCATGTGGCATGGTGCCAGGCACAGATAAGCATCCAATAAATGCCAGTTATGACTGTACGCCTCATTCACTCCTCAGCTGAGGTGGTGTTATTCCCATTTTCCTGGAGGAAAGGTCAGACTCAGAAAAGTGCAGAAACTTGCCTAAGGACTCAGTCACCAAGTGGCACAGCCAGGAAGGGGCTGCTTCCTAACTAGACCCTGGGTTTTGCCAGCATGCTGCTTGCTCTCAGGCAAAGTGAGAGGCCAGCCCCTCTGCCCCGCCCCGTCATGGGGCTTCTGGAAACTCAGACGCCTTCCCAAAAGCCTCCCTACACCTCCTTTCCCTACCTGGGGTTAGAGCTCAGGGAACCGACCTCTTGGGGGAGAGAAGCAAATATGTGCCTCTGGAGGACTGAGTCCAGAGCCAGCCTGGGAGTGGGAGGGGGGAGCAATGTCCATATAAGGACACGTTTTCCTCTCTACATGGAGGGCCCCATGCCCCCTCTGCCATCTTCGCCCCCATGCTTCTTTGGGGCACAACCAGATCAGCAGAGGACACCAGCCCTGGGGCCCAGTCCTAGAAATGGGGTTCAAGTTCATCACCAACTGATTAAAATAGACAGAAAATGCAAGCTGCTCTTAAACTTTTATTACTATTATTTTTATCCCCTGGGCAGCTGTGTGAGCCCAAAGCTGGTTTTGATTAAGCACGTGGTCCTCCCAGCCCACTCCTTGCTGCGTTCTCACGGAGCTAGTGGCTCGTGGGGCAGGCACTGCTCCCGTGGGTTGAGGGCAGGGAGCTGCAGAGGAAAGAAGGGTCCAAGTCAGGGTTGGGCCTGGTTTGAAAGGGAAAACGAGCCCCTTTCCTCATGGCCAGATAGGAAAACAAGGTGCACAGAACTTCTGAAAACAAGGCTCGGAGCACAGGACAGGGAAGTGCACTCGCTGGCCAGTGGAAAGCCAGCACCCAAGAGCTGAGGACGGACACGGAGGCTGGAAACAGGCGGTGGGGCGGGTCAGGGAGGGCTTCCTGAAGGTGGAGAGTTCTAAAGCAGATTTGAAGGAGGAGAGGAAAGGTGGACAGGAGGGATGGATTAGCAGTGAACGATCATTGCTCGCTCTCCAGAGCTCTGTTGCATGCGTTCTGTCCTTTGAGCCTCTAACACCTTCCCAGGATGCTGTCTGCTCCTCCATGGACCCTGGTGTGTGGGCCATCCACTGGGGAGACAGGACACCCGCAGTGTCAGGGACCCCCAACCCACCCTCTGGGGCTCTTCTGCTCTTGTGGAAGGTGGTAGTGAAGCAGGGAGGGGCCTGGTTGTCAGGTGTTCTCCCAGCCCCACCCCCTGTCGTATGTTTTGCTCAAAGTTCTTAGCCATTCCTGTGTTTTCATGTGCACAGCTCTGGGCTGACTCCCTGGAGACCTGTGCGCCTCGCTGCTGCTGTGAGCCTGGACAATGCCTACCTCAGGCCTCCACCCCTGCGTTTCCCAGCCAATAGGGAGGGGACGGGCATTAGTGTGGGAAGGAAGCCTGGCCAGTGTGGAGGGGCTTCTATGGGCAGATCCCGATTCTGGACCAGGAAAGAGACCAGTTCCCTCTAGAAGGAGCAGTGTATCCAGATGGGAGCACCAAGGCTCTGGGTGCCGCCCCCAGCCCTGCGCTCTCATGCCCACCCACAGCCCTCAGGAGAGCGCATGTGTGAGAGCCAGGGCTGCCCATCTGGGAGACAGGACTAATGGCCCTTCCTCCCCAGCCAAGCCACAGGAATGTGGCTACAGCCTCGCTGGAAAGTCCCACCCCTCCTTTCTTTCTCTGAGCTTCCTCTCTTCAGGAGCAGGAAAAGGATGGACAGGAAGGGGCTCTGAGGGGAGGCTCCCTTCCCAGCACGGGCCCTGAAGAGAGTTCCTAGTGGGAAAATGCTGCAGCGTAGTGATAGCCCCGGGCCGGCCGCTGTTTATCTGAGTCCCTGGGTGGTTTCCCCTCAGCTTCCTGAAGTGCAGTCCCCTCAGGGCCCAGGGAGGGCCTCTGCCCAGCCCAGCACCATGTTGCCCTCAGCCCTGACAAAGGAGGGTTTCCCTGGCCTTAACCACAGGCGTTTCCGCGCAGGAGAGGCCTGAGCGTTGGTGCTCTCACCCACGCACATTTCAGCTCCGCCCGGAAGGCTGCCACGGGATTTCATGCGTCCTCTTTGGGGAGGACAGCAGAAGCCCCACTGTGGGCTCGAGGCTCAGTCCAGAGTGGGTGAGGCATGCTGGCCGCCTGCTCAGAGATCTTCGTCTGGTTTGGAGTTGGACTCTCAGCGTCCACCTGTAGAAGGAAGTCCAAGAAATCAGAGGCTACTGTGAGCCCGAGGACAGGACCCTGCTCCCTCCTTCCTCTGGACGGGAGACCTCTCGGCACAGAGCAGACTTCTGGAAATCCAGAATGTTTACTGAGAGTCAAGGCCCAGTGAAGGGAAAGGTGGGGCGAGGGGAGCTGAGGGCGCAGTGGCTGCTGGGGAGGGGAGAGCGCTAACTTGCTCGCGGGGTAGCCTGTCCATCCATCTTGCCAGGGGACTGCCCTCTCCACCTGATTTATAAGGCCCAGAGCGGCCGCACTCCTTCTTTGGTGCTCTTGTGGAAGAAGGTCCCAGGAGCAGGCCCTGCAGGCCCTCAGAGAGGACGGGGCGGGGGAGGGGCTATCGTTTTGGTTGGGGAGGGTTTTATTGAGATGCCTCCTCTGCTCGTTTTCTTGGGCAGCTGCCAACTAATGTTTGTTGTCACCTGTTTTGTTCCAGATGCTCCTGCCGGTGAGAATACCAAGGCCCCTGAGCTGAAAGCCCGGAGGCCCAAGAGCTCTCTTCCCCCTGTGCTAGGAACAGAGAGTAAGTACGAGATGAGCTTCCCTGGGCAGCTGTGGGGCTGAGGGCCACGGAGACCCTGCCTGCCCTGCCTGCCCTCCTGCCCATGAGCTCCTGAGCCCGAGCCAGTGGCCTCTTCTCAGGCCGGGCCATCTCCCAGCCTCCCCGCAGGCGGGGGTGGTACACGTCCACGTCTACCTCAGCCTCACTCAGGTCCTCTCAGGTCCTCTCTGCTCCTCACCAGACTCCTGACAGCTCCTCCTCCTCTCTCCTAGGCGAGTCTTTCCTGCTGGTGGGTAGATCTTTGGAAACTGTGGCTCTGACCTTGTCACTCCTGCTTGGAGTGCCCAGCAGACCCCAAGCCTATGAGTGTCATAAACTGAACCTCTCACCCCTTGCTGCCCCGGTACACTGGCTGCACATGGACACACGCACGTTCTGACCTTGACCTCAGCCTGCTTTCCAAGTGCTGCCCCCCGACTCCTTTACTCCTGTTTTACACTCAGCCAAACTGTGCTCCTCAGTGTGGACATCCCTGTGTTCCTTCCTTTACTTTTGATCTGACACCTCTCTCATAGGACAGGCTCCCATGGAAAAGCCACCTCACCCCCGAGTCCGTCCTTGCTCCAACTGGAAGTAACTCTCTCCTCCTGTGAGCTCCCGCAGCCCTCCGCGCTCCCTTCTGCCACTGACTGGGTCATGGTGATGGGTGGGGTCTCCTTCGCCCTCCTCTACTGCAAGTTCCTGGAGGCCCACAGCTGGGCCTCCCGCAGCCATGCCCCTTCAGGACGACTGCTGTCCTTGCTCACAGAAGGCCCACGTCAGCCTCTGAGAATCTAGTGTAGCGGTGCTGTAAGTGGCCAAGAGAAGGAGCTTATCCTCGGACCGTATACGGCTCTCTCCCTCTCTCTGGGTCTCAGCCCCCTTCCCCCCCCCCCCTTATCTCCAGGTATAAAGCGGAGGGTCCGCAGGGCTGTCTCAGGCCCACAAAACTATCCTAACATCTTATAAAATTAGAAGAAAAAAATAAGCTGCAGGTCAAAGAAAATGTCTTAATTCATATTATGAATATATTCATCTTTAACCAATGCAGTTGGAAATATACTTTGGATGAATATATACTTATTTATATTATCTTTAATGGAGGAAAGGGCCAATGAAGGCAAAAGTGTCTAGAGTCACAAAAGTCATTATGCAGGAGCCCTGGCTTCCCTACTAATTAATTATTGGCCTAATTTTGTTAGAACTATCCTTTGAATCCTCCCATTTTACCAAAGAGTGTGAAATTGCTTGAACATCCCTAACACACACTCCCTCAGTCTAGAAACCAAACAAGATAAGCTCTTAATGCCCATGCTAAGAGAGGGAAGTGACTGAGCTTGACTGATTCAAAGGCTGTTTCTCTCTTTCCATGACAACACAGGGTTCTGTGACTTAGTTTTACTCTTTTCTTTTGAAAGCAACACATTCCCCTTCCTAAGGACGAGCTTGAGTGCCTTGCACATATACCGGCAGGCCGTCACGATGCTCAGCCTTCAGTACATTGGGCTGCCAAGTTGGAATTATTATTTCTTATGGGTATTTAACCGCAGCGGGGAGCCTCAGGTTATCAAGAGTGGGCCTTTAAATAAGTTGTTGGAAGTACATAGACAATTCTAAGAAAAACCTAGTAAAAATGGGTTAATGATTTTACCTTGCAAAAGGATTTCTTATACCCGTGCTCTATTCATTATGGGAAATGTGAGCGGAGGAGAAGCCGGATTTTAGAAGAGCACCGAGTACTTGTGACATAGGGGATCTGGCCGGTCATTCCCCAGCCCTGGGGGCACAGCAGGAGTGTGTGGAGTCAGAGCTGGGAGCTCAGCGCCTCCTGTCCTCAGCTCGGGTCCATCCATTCCAGTGAGGTCCTGGGGAGGTGAGGTCAAAGGAGAGCTGGGAAAGAGAAAAACAAGCTGGAGACGGTGAACAGACCGCCCGGGCTCCTTGCCATGAGAAGGGCGGGCTATGGAAAACGCTAATCAAGTTGTCATCATCCACTTCTAGGGCAGGGGCTCTCCACCCTGGCTGCGTGTCAGATTCACCTGGGAGGCTTCCAGTGCACCGATGACTGGGCTGCACCCCACAGTCATTAACTTAGAGTCTCTGGGAGTGGGACCCAGGCCTTAACATTTGTTCAGGCTCCCGGGCCATCCCAGTGTGCGGTCGGTCAGCTGGAAACCAGCTGCTCTGGAGGAGAGCCCGGGCCCTGCACTGTGGGTCTGGAGAAGCAGAGGGGCCTCTGTTAAGTGCGAACACCTCCGGGCCCCTCATGCCCAGGTCCTCAGAGTATCTCAGTCGCCCGCCCCAGTCTCCACCCTTTAGGGCGGGAGCAAGATGTTCCGCTCTGCTCTGCGGTGTGGAGGCTGGACACCTGGGTTCTTGCCCCTCCAGAGGGAGCAGGAAAGGGGCTCCGTCTGAAGTGCTACTCAGTGGGAGGGGCAGGGCTGGCAGAAAGTGCTTCACCTCTATAGAGAAGGAACACATTCACCACTGGATCAAGTCCAGGCACACCTTGTCTGCTGAAGGGGAACTACACCCCGCGTGGAGCGCCCGCATATTAGAATTACAGACGTACGTGTGTCTCCAGGTACAGCGGTGGCCCATCCACCCAGACTCCCATCACCCCAACCTGCACTCCCTGGAGCTGCTGGGGAAGGCAGCTGCCCAGAGATAAGACTTGAGGAGGGTGTGTTTTAGGTCTGCACTGCAGTTCTTTACTCACTGGGGGATCATTTGTGAGGCGAACGTGATAACCATACACTATGGAAACATACACTTGGGATCGTTTATATTACTTATTCATTGCATAAGTTAAGTGCATTCTTGTTTAAACACTTTATCTTTGTAAATATGTTTTTATTAATATTTTAGAGAGAGAGAAACCTTGATGTGAGAAACATCAGTCGGCTGCCTCCTGCACACCCCACGCTGGGGATCGAGCCCACAGCCAGGGCATGTGCCCTGACCGGGAATCGAACCAGGACCTATCAGTCCATGGGTCGCTCAGTCCACTGAGCCACACCGGCCAGGCTTGTTTAAACATTTTAAACCATATCGAAATATACCAGTAGAGTGTGAAAGGCTTCTTTCATCTAACCCCAATTTCACTCACCTCAAATATATTCAGCTACTTTATTCTGTGCATTTGTATTTACATATGCAACTATATCACACAGTCTGTGCGCTCTGCAGCTTCCTTCTCTTCTCTCGGCCTTGCCATCTCCAGCCCCAGATAGCTCTGTTCCATGAGAAAGCCCAGAGACGCATGTCCCTGTGTGGCCTGGCTGGGCGTGTGTTCATTTCTGTCGAGGGCTGAGAAGCACCTGAGCTAACCAGGAAATCCGTCTTTCCTGCCGGTGACTGAGGACAGACTGATGGTTTGTGGCCAGATCCCTCTCTGCATGCCCTCCCCCCCTCAGCTCCCACATTCAGTTCTGTAAGTGAGCTGCCAGGCGTGAAGGTGGACAGCACTCATCCACACTGCGGCCTGAGAGCCCCTGGGAGCCCTACCGCCGCTGAGCCAGCCTGCCCCAACCGCAGGACCAGGGAGAGAGAAAACCGACAGAAGTACGAGTTAACTTGCCAGCCACCCACCCACAGGAACAGGAGTGAGGAGGGGTCCTGTGGGAGGATCTAGGGGTAAAGGAGACTCTGGGCCAGGTTATGAAGGAGGAGAATGTGGTTGGTTGAAGAGGAATGATAATAGCGTTAGAGGGAGAAACTGCACAGATGCCGGATGAATGTTGTGAGGACACCTGACTTGGAGGACCATCTGCTCAGCATACAGAACAAGTGCTTACTGAGCACATGTGCCACAGGCATCTTCTTAGGCGCTCAGTCTGTGTCACTTTGGGCAAGTCTCACCCTACTGAGCTGCTCCAGTTTTACAGATGTGCAAAGCTGAGCCTTAGAAAACAAAATGTTCCTGCCCAGGGTCTCACAGCTGGTAAGGTGTGGAGCTGGAGGCCAGTCCTGTCTGCGTCCCTGCCCCAGCAAACACCCTGTGCCTTGCCATGGTCTCAGAGCCACACTGCGGTCCACACAAGCCCGGGCAGGGCTTCTGCCTGCCCACTTGGGGAGCGGAGGTCTGACTGTCATCGGAGCTGGGGGAGGGGGGCACCCGGCACGCTTCCTCGCATCCTGAGACCTGTCAGGGTGTTTGCTGCAGGCCTCTCAATGAGAATTTTTAAAATAACTTTATTTGGTATAATTTCAAATTTGCAGAAAAGTTGCAAGAATAGTACAAGAAACTTTTGTATGTGCTTTACTTAGATTCACCAATGATTTACATTTGTTTCATTGTTTTATCATTCTATGTGTATATATTCATATATGTATTTGCCATTCATCATATATTCATAGATATATATTTACACTATATCTTAAAGATCATATACATATATATGCATATGTTCATACATAGATTCCCTGTTCATCATGTAGCTGTGTATACCATTTATGGACTGGTCCTTGACCTCTAAATATCTCATTGTATATCTCCCAGGAACATAACCACATGCAGTTGTTAAACTCAGGAAATTTAACATTGAACCAATACTGCTATCTAATCCACATCTGCATTCAGTTTTTCTCAATTGTCCGAATGTCTTTCATGGCTGTTTTCCCCCCCTTGATGGGTATTTAATGGCAGCATTCCTGGAACTTCATCGACTCCTGCAGCCCAGAGTTGGCTCTCTCCGCCTTTGGAGGAAGAACAGGAGAGAAGTGCAGGGCGGGGAGGAGCATCCAAGACTCCTCCCGAGCTGAGTGGGTGTGGGGCAGCAGCGCGCCCAGGCACAGGGCAGAGCCAGATAGTCACGAGAGAGCAGGGGACAAAGTCTTGGTTCTGTCCCTAATTGAACACGTGGCCTTGCTGGAAGCCCTTTGTCCCTCTGGACCTTGGCTTCCTTATGTGTCAAATGGGACCTTTCTCTGACTGATCCCAGGCTTTTCCAGCTCTGAAATCAGCCATTCAATGGAATGCTTTTTTTAAAGGAACATAGTTCAGGTGAGGTCAGTGAACTCCCCATGGTACCATCTGATGTGTGAAGACCCAGAGCTACAGCCAACGTGGGTTGTGTTACACAGCAGCAGAAACAGCCTGACAGGAAGGAGGCCGCAAGCATGAGGCCCAGGCTTAGGGTGGTCTAGCTGGAAGGAATCGGAATGGGATTTTATGTGCAGGAGACATCAGTGGGGCTTAAGAAACGGTTTCAGAAAAGACAGCAGAGGCCATGCCGGTGCAATAGCGGACTCAGGATTTTTCCTGTCAGTCTGCAGAGCTGGTGGTCTTTTAGAAAAGAGGTAGATGGGCATCCACAGGCACTTCTGCAACTTGAGGACAGACACCAGGGCCTGTCTATCTCTGAGTCTTCAGTGCCTGATCTGAAGCAGGGAGATAGTAAGTATTTGATTTTTCAAGTCAGTTCATGAATTTTCATGCTTTAAGGGTCCTTGCCTCCACCATGGCTCTGAGATTTGGGGAGATGCAGGTGGAACACCCCTTTGTATTCCTTGCCTAGGCTTCGCCTGGGCTGCACCTCTGGCATTGGTCACTTTGGCTTCAGTCACCATGGTGGACCATCCAGATCATGATGCCTGTGGATAGCTTTGCTTTGGCCTCCCACGTGTGTCTCTCTGAGACCAAAAGTCATGTCAATTTGAAAGCGTCTGAATATCAAAAGCAGTGTCCAGTTTTCTTAAATGGTTTCCTCAGAATCAAATCTTTCTCTTATATAGTCTCTCCAGGTTATGGAGGATGTTAAAGCCCCCAGGA